GCATCTTGGTTCTTATTTTTTCCCCATTCCTAGCCCTCCCTTCACCCCCTCCACCCTTCCCTATTTACAAAGACTTTGTTTCCATTTTTTCCAAATGGAATAATTTAATATATGATCTTTTGTGGTTGGCTTCTTTCCCTTCACATGATATTTTAAGGTATATTCAAGGTATAATGTAACATGCATTCCTTTTGTGCTCAAATATTCCATTGTATAGATATACCACATTTTAAAAAATCAATTCATCAGTTGATAACCATTTAAGTTTTTTCTATTTGACTACTATGAAGGATGCTGCTGTATACATTCATGTACAAGTTTTTGTATAGACATATGTTTTCTTTTTTTTTAAATATAGACTTAGGGGTGCAATTTCTGGGTCCCTTGGTAATCCTATCTTAAGTGTTTTAGGAAGTACTAGAGACTCCCAAAGTGGCTGCGCCATTTTATATTCCCACTAGCAGTACCTGACAGTTCTTATTTCTCTACAACATCAATACTTGTTTTTATCTCACTTTTCATGATAACTATCCTAGACGGTGTGAAGCAGTGCCCCTGTATCTGTTTTATATTTGACTTGACTAATGATGTGAAATGTCTTTCGTGTATATATATATGAAATATATAATATAAATTTTTTAAAGTCTATCCAAGTCCTTTATCCAATTTCGCATGAAATTTTCTTTTAATTGTTGAGTTGTAATACTATTTAATATACTCTAGATGGAAGTCCTTTATCAGATATATAATTTTGCAAATATTTCCTTCCAATTTGGGAATTGTCTTTTCTTTTCTTTTCTTTTTTTTTTTTGGTACCGGGGTTTGAACTGGGGACCTTGCACTTGTGAGGCAGGTGGCAGAACCACTGAGCTAAATCCCTGGCCTATTGATGGTAGTCTTTGAAGCATAAAAGTTGTTAATTTTTATGAAGTCCAATTTATCTATTTTTCTTTAGTTGTTCATGTTTCTGGTATCAAATTTAAAAATACCTTTCCCAATCCCAGGTCATAAAGATTTACCCACTATTTTCTTCTAAGAGTTTATGGGGTTTGATCTTATATTTAGGTTTTTAATAAATTTTATTTGATTTTTATGTATGACAGAAGTAAGGGTTTATCTTCATTTTTCATGTGGATATTCAATTGTCCCAACATATCTCCCTCTCTCTCTCTCATATATATATGTACATATATATACATATATATGTACATATATATGTACTATATATACATATATACATATATACACATATATACATATATATACATATATACACACATATATGCATATATATACATATATACATATATACACACATATATATACATATATACACATATATATACATATATATATTTTTTTTTTTAATGGTACAGGGGCTTAGACACTGGGGCTTCACACTGAGCTACATCTACAGCCCTTTTTAAAAAAATTTTTGAGATAGTGTCTAAGTTGCTAAATTGTCCGGGTGGGATTTGAACTTGCAATTCTCCTATTAGCCCTAGCAGAGCCCTGGAATTAAATGTGTGTGCCACTATGCCCAGATGTCCTGGCGCCACTGAAAAGACTGTTCTTTCCCCCACTGAATGGTCTTGGAATCCTTACTGAAAATTGGTTGAATATAAAAACACATGGGTTTGGGGGCCATGGGTTTGGTACCAGTGAGTTCAATCAATGGTACCAAAAAAACAAAACAAACAGACATAAAAAAACACATGGGTTTATTCCTAGACCCTCAATTCTACTCCACTGATTTATATGTCTATCCTTGTGCTCATTGCATCCATGTCTTAATTACTGTTGCTTTGTTGTAGTTTTGAAATCAAGAAGTGGCAGTCCTCTGCTTGGTTCTTTTTCATGATCATTGGCTCTTCCATGTCCTTTATAATTTATAGAACAATTTGGGTATATGGCCATTTTAATGTCTTCCAGTTCATGAACATGTGGGGTTTTTTTTCATTTTGCTATACCTTTTTAAACTTCTTTCAACAATGTTTTATACTTTTCAGAGTATAAGTTTGAATTTCTTTTGTTTAATTTGATAAGTACTTTATTCTTTTTATTGCTGTTATAAGCAGAATTGTTCTCTTAATTTCATTTTTGGATTATTCGATGAAAGTATGTATAAATACAATTGATTATTTTGCATATTGATTTTGTATCCAGCAGCTTTCTGAGCTAATTAATTAGGTCAATGGTGAATTCCTTAGGATTTTGGACATATAACAGAGAGATTTACTTTTTTTTTCTTCTTACAAATTGTTTTGTCTTATTCTTGAGCTTAGGGGTTGGCATCCAATCTTTCACCATTAACTATGATGCTAGGTATAGGGGGTTTGCAGTTAAAGTGCCTCTCTATTCCTGATTTGTTGAGTGATTTCATCATGAAAAAGTATAGGATTTTGTTAAATGTTTTTCTGCATCTCATGTAGTTGTTTTAATTCTATCAGTATAGTGTATTACATTAATTTATTTTTGGATATTAAACCAATTTTGCATTCCTAGAGTGGATCTTATTTGGCCATTGTGTGAAGTCTTTTTATATGTTGCCAGATTCAGCTCTGTGAGTATTTTGTTGATTTCTACATCCACTGGTCTTGTGATGTCTGGTTTTGGTATCAGGGTAATACTGGCCTAGAATTAGTTGGGAAGTATTGTATTCCCTCCTTTTTTATTTTTTTCAGAATTATTATTATTATTATTATTATTTTGAATGGTAGAATTCACTTGTAAAGTCATTTGAATTTGGGATTTCTTTGAGCATAGTTTTTTTTATTGTTAAATCAATCTTTACTTGCTATAGGTCTATTCAGATTGTCTATTTCTCCTTGAGTCACTTCCAAGAGTGTGTCCATTTCACCTGTTATCTAACTTCTTGGCATATAGTTATTCATAGTATTTCTTAATAGTATTTTTATTTCCATAAAGTTGGTAGTATTATCTGTATCCTTTTTCATTTTTAATTCTAATTATTTGAGTTCTCTCTCTCTCTCTCTCTCCAATTTAGCTAAAGATTTGTGCATTTTCTTACTCTTACTAAGAACCTGGTTTTGGTTTCATTATTTTCTCTATTCCTTTTCTCTTTTCCACTGAATTAATCTCTGTACAAGTGTTTATTATTTATTTCCTTGTAATTTAATTTTCACTTCTTTTTCTGATGTCTTAAGGCAAATGATTATTGAGATTCTCTTCCTTTAAAATGTAATTATTACCCATTATAAATTGATACCTAAGCCCTATTTTAGAAGCACCCCATCTGCAACAACTTATTTCTAGCCAAGCTCCACATGTGTCCTCAGTTGTGAAAAGATCTGCTAGCTCTTCTCATAAAATCAGGCCTTCACTTTTTTAGTACCTTCATTGTGGGAGGAATCCATACGTAGAGAAGACATTTGGATCTTCTGGCCCTAAATATGTTTCCCCATTGCCAGTCTTGGGGGGTTCTTTTTTTTTTTGTTATTGATTGCATTTTTTGTGTAGGATGTATCAAGATCTGTTATGATGGTGTTTAATATACAGATATTTAATTATTGATGGAGCTAAGTAGACATGATCTTGTCTGAGATGAGAGCTTCCTTCTTCTTTCCATCCTCATAATTCATGACTTGTCCAAAAGGAAAACATAAAAACAAAACAAAGCATTTGGCCGAGTATATTACACAGTGTCTAACAGGCTGCAAGGTAGAGCTCCAAAAGAGTAGAAAGTCCTGATGTACTTAGGGGAGCCAGTGATGTGTCTGGGAGACTCTTCAGGTCCTCTACGATCCCTGCACTTTAGCCCTTTAGCTGTCATTTAGAATTTGTGGAGGACCATAGGGCTGTCTGGATCATCATTTGTGTTCTTGGTGTATCAGGACTAAAGACATAGAGCAAGCACTATCACACCTGTGAAACCGCCCCAACAACCAACCAGTTGTTTCTCTGAACTCTGGGACTTTGTGGCCTCTGCTTGATCTCTCCTGGAAATCCTACGCCAGGAAGTAGTGGTGTTGGTCAACACAGGAGAGAGCAGGGAGATTATGACAAACCAGCAGAGACCCCTGAGGGGGCCACAGAGGGGGAAACTTTTGTTTAGATTTCATTTCCAAGTTATCAGTAGCCAAGATAATGACTTTTTCTTCAAATATGAAAGGACTTATTTCCCAGTTCCTACTAAAATACGCTTTAATTAGGGAGGCTGATGTCTCAATCTGCTGGCAAGGTGCCATTTGTAATTACGCTGTGGTATCCATTTCTCCTCCTCTTCCGTCCTCACATACAGTAGTGTGGGGTTTGCCATGACTTAAGATTCAGGTAGCTCCCTGAACTGCTCTGATCTCTGCTTCTCTGCACTGCCTTCTTGCTTAGCCAAGACAGTTACCATGGAAGAATGCCTGGGGATCCCCGCAGGCCTGAACCGCTACAGGATGGACCCCTGCTCCACCACTTTTAACCACAGGGGCTCTTTGCCCCCTTCCTCGCTATACTGCAAGAAGCTCAACTCTGGAGACTGCCATGTCGGAGGAGGCCCTGCCACCACCACCAATGTTCCACGTATCGGCCCCGTGTCCTCTGGAGGCTACTCAGCACCTGGACTGAGGCCTGCAGCCTCCAGCCCCAAGAGAAATGGGACTTCTCTGGAAGGAAACAGATGTGGTAATGTAATGCATGCCTTGGCTTTCCTGTGACTTATCCTTGCCCTGGGAACACAGCATGGGGAGGGGAGCATGGCTGCTTGAACATGGGACCACTGAGAAGTCAGAGGTTTCCGTTGGCCCTATTATGGATTTTTACTGTTTTTGAAGGCAATGAATCTTAACTTTGACCATAAACAAAGCAAACAGTGAATTAGGGTAGTCTGAGCTATAGGTAGGTATAAGTGCAGCCCAAAATGTGTACTGCCCCAGGTGTTATAGAGGTTTTTGTTCAAGAGTCTGTAATGGATGTTCCTAGTTTCTAGGTGTGTCTCAATGCAGGGACTTAGGGCCTGCCTATCTTGAGGCTGTGCCCTCCTCTGCCACCTCATGCCCCATGTACCTAGTGGATACAAACGGCCAGAAGGAGTGGAGAAGCCAATATGGAGAAGGCATGCATGCTTCACTGAAGCCTGGCAGGGATACATGTCCATTTCACTTGCATTCCATTGGCAAGAGCTGGTCATTTTGTCACTTAACTGTGAGGAAGAGGTGTAGCTCTGTGCTGAGGAAAAAGAAGAACCAGACTTTGGTAAAGAACTGTCTCTTGTACAGTGAGTGATACTTGCAAGGTACAAGTACATGAACAGAAGCAGAAATCCCAAATGGTATTTTTCAGGATACTTCTGTCTCACCCACTAAAGAATTGTTGTTGACATGCAGTATAGGAAAGTACTCAGAGTAACTCGGAGTAAGGATAACTTGAAGGCCATTCTGATTGATGATTTACAAAATCATTTTCAGGCTTCAGTATTTTGTTAATGAATAGAGGCCAAAATGCAGACTGGGTAATCTCATGGATGTTAGCCACCTGCCTGGGCAGAAATCCTGAATCTGCTGCTTCCTGATGGTGTGGTCCCTTGCAGTCTTAACTTCTCCATGCCTCAGTTTTGTCATCAATACAATTGGAATGATAATAATAGCAGCACCTACTTCATAGGATTATTGGGAGGATTAAATAAGTTCATACATATATTTACTACAAGGCTTAGGCATAGTAAGAGCTCAATATGTGTTAGTAGTCGTAGATCCCATACATACACACTTCAACAGATCACAGCTCCACTGACTGTAGGTCAGAACTGCTGCAAAAAGGAGGCCCCAGATCAAAGAGTCAGGGAGTCTTCATCTTGCCTGTTTGTAGCTGCCCACCGGCCTGGCTATGTCTTCTTCAATAAGTCACATTTCTCTTCTGGCCATGGTTCCCCTGCTGTGAGCCATACTCAGGAGCTCTTTGTGTGATGCAAGGTGCTCCACACACTCCTGTCAGTGCCTCTCTGTGCCTCTCTCTCTCTCTCTCTCTCACACACACACACACACACACACACACACACACACACACACACACACACACACGAGCATGGCCCTGACAGGCCTTGCTGTCCAAGGATGGAGAGGGGAGCAGGGCCCTTGAGGGCACAGGTGGCTCTGAAGGGCAGAGCAGACCTCCTCAGTTGTGGAGGCTCTTGTCAAGTATAGAGGCGCCATGCAGACCACTCCCCTGCATTGTCATGCAGGGCCACTGACTGCGCGAAGATTTAAGTGGGTAGAGCCCCATTTTCCAAAGGACAGAAACATGATTTTATTTGGTTTCTAAAAGAAGGGGATCAAACCTGGTAGGAAATCAATGTCTTCAAGAGGGGGAACATTCATTTCGTAGGTTTGTCCCCAGAGGTAGCACAATATATGACAATAGAAGGTGGTCAATAAACATCCACTGTCCCTGTGGCCTCACAGTGCCCCTGGTTGTCAAAACCCTCAGCCTGGTGCTCTGCTGCCTTTTAAATGTCCCTTTCTCTCACCCTCTTCTCCTCAACTCAATTCCAGTTTTTCTCAGGGTGGTGATTGCAGGACACTGCACTGATCGAATCGAGTCCTAATCCTGCCACTTCTTAAAAAGGAGATATTTACTGTCTGTCCACTCATGTGGCTGACATCTCAGGCTCTGCATCTTAAGTGCAGGATTCCAAGCAGTAGGAGGGAAGCTGGATTTGGCAGAAGAAACGTGTACCATCTGCCCCCACCCCAGTCTGCCTGTGACCCTTAGTTAAGAGAATCCAGGTTCCTTCAAAGGGCCTCACAGTAGTTCCCCTCCTCCAGCCCCTCAACGTCTTCTCTAGCTGGGCCTGACCTGTCCTCCTGTCCTTCAGTGTCACCCACTGCAGCTCTTTGTTCTCCTGAAACACAACCCTCGCTGAGAAATCTTGCCAGACAGCTGCTGGAGGGGAGCCAGATGCTTGCTTGGGACTTGTCTCTAGAAAGCCCCGTTTGTGGGACCCCCAGTCATACCCACGAGAGCCCCTGAGCTCAGGGCTTCACTCTCAGGATCTTACATGACATCGGAGAAACAGGCCCCCAGTGCCTGCTGCTTTCTGCTGCAAGCAAACCAATAACTATCCTGAATGCCAGTTGTCTTTTTTGCAAGTTAGAAAAATTAAAGAGAACCTTACCTAAATCCTTGAATATTCACAGCAGGAGGCCCCTGAGGCTGCAAAATGTTGGCAAATCGCAAAGCTACCCTTGGCATAAAGCTGCTATAGGATGTAAGAGTTGAAGTCAGTCTTTGTGATACATTGAAATAAAAAGAAATTATTTGTGTTTTGTAAGTTTGAACTGTTCAATGTTCCAAAGGGTCCATTTAACTGTTGCCTTCTTCAGAGTGTTAAATGAAACCTCGGTTACCAGAAAGAGGCACTCAGCCTTGCAGTCTCAGGAGCAAGACCCATCTTGGAAAGAGCTTTCCACTTCCACTTACAGTTCGTTGGCCAGAATTTAGTCACATGGCCACTAGTGGTAAGGGAAGCTGGGAAATGTGGTTTCGATTTCAGGCAAACATGATTTAAGTAGAAACCAAGGATTCTATTACAAAGGAAGATATTGGATCCCTACAGGCAGTCTCAGCCACATCTCCTGTTTAGAAATATTTCCTTCTGGGGCCGGGGATTTGGCTCAGTGGTTCTGCTGCCTGCCTTGCAGGCGCAGGGTCCTGAGTTTGATCCCCAGTACTAAAAAAAAAAAAAGAAAAGAAATATTTCCTTCTCTTCTCCTTCTATGGCACAGCATGGCATGTTGTTCCCTAATCCATAACACATACTCTCTCCCACCCATGGTAGGGGCCAGATTCCCCAACTTTATGAGTTTTCTTATTCCTATTTGAATCTCACACAGCCTCAGGAAAGGGGGCTTGTTAGAGGTCTGCATCAAGTTGCTTTTATTGAGTACCTACTATGGACCACTTTCCTACACTATTTATGATTTGTTTTAACATATTTATAATTTATAATAAGAAATTGTCTGTATTACATCCAAATTACAGATAAAGAAAGTAAAGATCCAGAGGTCAGTCAAGTGTGGAGCCAAGATTTGACTTCAACCTACTCTAAAGCCCATGTCTTTCAAAACTACCCCAGGGATCTTCCAACTGTGTGTGAAGGGTTTACAAGGGGTCCCTCTGGGGTTCTAGGGGATGGAGAAGAATGGATGGGAGCAGACAGGATGCAGGGCTCCCCACATCTCTCCTAAACAAGGCCTCTTCACATTTGCAGAATGAGGTTCTATGTGTGTTTGCTTGAACAAAATTTCCACACTTAAAGATATTTGGAAACCAAGGGGATCCACTATGTGGCATTGAGTGGTGATACACTAAAGTGGGAGAGAAAAACCACTGGCCTTCCTGCCCATTTCTTACCCACCTGCTAGCCTGCAGCCCTACTGTGGGTCTTTCAAAGGCCATTACAATCACCCTCCAAAAGCCTGCTCAGTATTGCTCTGATATTACTTCCCAAGTGAAATCAGTTGGCACCAAGAAACCATGCCTCTTTCAGAGGGTTTGAACCAAGTCATAAACACTGGAAGAAACCTAGAAATGGATGTTCTCCCTAGGGTGCTATTCAGCATGGCTTGAAACCACAGAAGCCAGAAAATGGCATAGGGTGCAGGCAGGGGGGTAGTTATCGACAACATGACAGATTCCTCAGCCACCTTCCCTCTCACACGGATACTCACCCTGGCCTCCCACTGTCTTGATATATCTCCCTGTCTCCTTGCCAGGGAGCTGCAAAGGACTGTTTTCATGAGGCACATTTCCATCAGGTTTGCTGAAACTCCAGTGAATGTTTGAGGGCTCTTCCCGGGCTCTCACTGAGGAAAGATATAATCACCAGGAGCTATAACAAGGTTTCAGATAGCAAGAACTTCCTGACTTTTGCACTGAACAGAACATGCTATAGTGTTTCCAACCACAGCTAGGCTCAAGATTCAGAATCCAGAAACAAAATAAATCTGACATTGTTATCACTACCCAAATGCTTCCTGTGGCTTAGATTTTGCTTCCATGGGATATGGCACTGGGTGGGGGCTAGAAAAAGAATGAGGACAATGCTCATGGGGTGGAGTGTGGCATGGGAAGGGCTTATTCATTCTAGGGAAAGAAGTGTTTGTGATGGACAGTGATGGAAATCAAGCTGGAGAAGTTGGGATCCATGGCCAGCAGATCAAGCTTCACCCTGTAGTAATCATAAACCAGATATTTCTAAACAGGGGAGTGAGCTGATGACCATGGGATTCAGGAAGCTGGGTCTACTGGCCATTTGTGAAATAATGTATGAGAAAAAGAATAGCAGCTAACTTGTGGTTCATTCTATGGCACTATCCCATTTAATCTTCTCCCCAGCCCAGCATGGCGGTGGTTTTACAGGTGAGGTAACTGACTCAGAGAGGTTGTGATGGGCCTAGTCTGCAGATGCATACTGAGTACAAAAGGCCAGAGGGTCCTCTTCCCAGGCCTCAGGATGGAGCTGTGAACCAGACAGACATGGGCACTGTTCTCAGAGCATGTGCAAATCCAGACAGACAGATGTTAACAACTTATTACACATATTTCATCAAAACTGGAATTCTTAGAAGTATGGCAGCTGCAAGTGTCTGAGGGGAAGGTCTTGCCTGCTACAGTGGAGCTGGCTGGGAAGGGCAACAGGAGCAGAGCGGGGAGGAAACAGGGCAAAGGCGGCTGGAGGCTCTGGCAGAGACGACATTGCTCATAGGACGTCACGGTGTCTGCCAGCAGCCCAGCGTGGCCAACTTCAAGTCTGTGATTTGTCTCACCTCTAGAGGCATCCTTCGTCCTCACACTGGCAGGGCAGCTGGTCTTGAAGAGTTAAATGAAAATCCTGTATAAAAATCTAAGGAGTGGCCAGGCTCTCTTCTCGAGAACCTCATAGTGTCTAGGAAACTCTGGAATAGAAATAGTGAAAGCAACACTGTTTTACACAACTTGATTTGGCCCATGCTGTGGGCTAGCCTGGGTACCTCCAACACTCACCATGGGATTGTTTCCAGGAAGGATGCATCCTACAGGGACCAGGTCACTTAGAGATGCTGGGCACCAATCTGCCCTCCCTCCCCTCCCCTTCATCTCCTCACCCGTTTCCAGCCAGCTCCAGCTGTCTGAGAGGGGCTGGGAGATCCCAGGAGCCTGAGGGGCATCTCAGGGGTCTGTGAGGGATGGTGGGCTTCCCTTGAAGGTGTTGTCAGGCTCCACCCCTGACATACTCATTTGACACATACTCATTTGTCTCATAAAATACTCTTGAGAAGCAACAAGTGATAGGCACGATTTATAGAGGAAGAAACTGAGGCCAATAGAAATGTCCAAGCCAGGAAGTGACTAAAAGGCCAGTGGTGTATTTTACCCATGAACACAGGAATGAGGGCTGCAGCGGTGTATAAAGGTAACTTCCTGTGCACCAGCAGTCGGTGGTGAGAATGGGAAAGGCCTTAGGTGGGAGGGACCACAGGGATCCTGCCCAGCGCCCCTCCTGGACCACAGAGAAGCCCAGGGACAGACCATAGCCATGTGGTTCATCGCTTATTCCTCTCTCCCCCACGACTCCATTGTTAGCTAAAGTTTCCCCCTGAATTATGAATCAGCAAAAGGCAATGATGTATGTACTTGTTGGGGAGAGAGAGACCGAGAGAGAGAGAGAGAGAGAGAGAGAGAGAGAGAGAGAGAGAGAGAGAGAGAGAGAGAGAGAGAGAGAGAGAGAGAGAGAGGAAGGGAGAGAGAGAGAGAGAGATTTGCACATATGATACAAGTACTTGTGCTTTGGAAGGGGCTGGGATGGCTTTTGAACATTGACAGTCATTCTATTTCTGCTAACTACGAGTTCAGCTTTAAAAACAAGATGTAATTATACATTCATTCACCACTGAGTTTTGCTTTTCATGTCTCCGCAGCCCTCGGAGCAACATGACCAACCACAAGGTTCTCCACTGGAGAACGCTGCAGTCTCTTAAGGCGCTCGGCGAGCACGTCGCACGCTGAGCCCGCCCGCGCGCCCGAATAGGAGCAGATGTGCTCACTCTGTCGCTGCTCACCATCCACCCAGCAGCTGGCTGCCCTGGCGGTGTCAGTCTGGCCCCATCTGCCTGTGCAGCAGCTCGGGGAGGGGGTGTTTGTCTGTGAGCACAGACCCCTGTAACAGCTTTGCGGACCTGCTGCAGAAATTTCCGTTAGTTTTCCTTTTAGTGTGAGTTTATGAGACCCAAGGTGTGAGCTGGGCGTCCTGCTGATCTCTGACTTGTATGACCAACAGGCCCTCTCAGAAACGCTCCTGAGCCCACCTGGCTGCTGCACCTCTGTCCTGAAAAAGTGAAAAATGCCCACAACAAGCTCCAGGTTGTGGGCACAGAGCGCACCTCCCCGACTCTGTTCCCTTTTCCACAGCATCACCCAAAGGCCTCCTCCTTAAAGACAAACCAGCCCCTCTGCTGGCCCTGGAGGCTTTGGCTGATGAGAAAGCATTTTCCTGACCTCGCTCAAAAGACTCTAGGATCCTGCGCGTGATCCTATTAATTGGTGTAGTTTTTCTCCCTTCCTGGCAAATAGGGAAATTAGATTTGACCTCTGCTCTAATCACTCTAAAATCATTCTTAGACTGAAGACTCCCCGCCTTTGTGGTCAGGGCATCTATTACCATCCTGATTAACGCCCACGCTCTGGTGGGCGGACCCCAAAGACACACGTGATTTCCGTGATTCCTCATCCCCATTTTGAGTGCAGATGCCTTTAAATGAAGTGAAATCATCTTTAATAAACATGCATCAGGATTCAGATGGCTCCGGGGTGCATTAACACTTTCCCAGCAAAGCCCTGTGCCTAATCACCTTATGGGGCCCTTCAAGGTCCAATAAGGAAAAGCCAACAAAAATCTCAGAGTAAATCCAATTCTCAACCAAACCATTATGTATTTAGGACAAACTAGGAAATGTGATGCTGCATTTTTCTTGGCACTAGTGAAGCCCTGGTACTTCTCAATCATGTTAAAAAGAGGAGTGAAAAAAAAAAGAGTGATTGTGCAAGCAGCCTATATGCCTGTGAACAGATGAATGGTTAAAAAAATATGGTATATACTGTAGTATATAATGTAGTACTACTCAGCCATAAAGAAGAGTAAATTTGAGTCATTAGTAAAAAAATGAATGGCTCTTGAGACTATAATGCTAAGTAAAATAAATCAGACCCAGAAGAGTAAATATTGCACAGCTTCTCTTATATGAGAAACCCAAAATATGAGTAATTTAAAAAGCAAAATAAAGTGAAATGATAGGAAAGAAGAAGGCAGACTTTGTGGAGATGGGAAGAGGGTCTGAGGAGAAAGGAAGAGGAGAAGATAGGGAGGGGAAGAGGAAGTAAGAATGGTTAAGATGTGTGCACACCCCAATTCCCCCAGACGAACGGGAATACTGTGTATTGCAAACACATATCAATAAAGAGATGCAGAAAAGTAAGAAAAGAGGAGGGAAAAAGAGACAGTAGGAAACCACTTTGCCTTGAGGCTGAAGAATAAAGAAGTGCAGGCTTCTCAACTTCTAATTTAGAATTATTTGTAGGGAAGCTGCTTACTTTTCAGAGACTTGACCTTTTTCTAGCCTTAAGATAGAATTAAAAATTACCCATACAAGGCTTCTGTGTAAATTACCTAGACTGTTTCTGCAAATCTATTGATTCATCTCACATTTATCAAAGTCACATTTCAAATATACTTACTCTACTTAGAGCCATGGAGGCATTGTCATGTGTGACCTCTGTAATGAGAAGATCATGTTTGTATTTTTCACCAAACACTTCACCCAAGACCTGGTCAGAAAAAGGGCTCAGTAAATTATAGAAGCATAGGGAGAATCCTTGGGAAATTGAAATCTAGCTGTTCATCAGAGAAAAGCCCACAAACAATTGGCCTACAAAGTAGAGTGTGGAAAGCATCATAGGGAAGAACAATAAAGGTTTAGGGTGAAAGTGGGGAGGCAGCAAGAGGGCCAGCAGCATTGCTTGTGCAGACAGCAGGTGTCCCCTGGGCTGTGACTGTCGGCGGGACGTGGGAGGCAGGGAAGTACATGTCTCCTGGCAGAAGCCTAAGTGCCAGCTAAGGATGACACAGGGGGCTGAGGAGATACTGGCCACAGCAGGTGTGCCCAACTGCCCAACTGGGTTGCATGGGGCAGCACTAGAGGAGGCAGGGAGCTCCTTCCCACTGTGGGGCACCTGACCTGGGTCAGCCAAGGGCCTGGCACTCGCCCATCTCAGTCCTCACACCTGCCCCTCAGGCTGGAGAGCACTGCCATGTTACACCCGATGTGCCATGCTCAGATTGCTAGCAGGGAGCAGCTCCAGGATCTGTCTGTAGGTCTCTCTGCCACCAAAGTTCTTCTCCCCCTCCATCTAGGAAGGAAAGGTGCTATTGAGACCAAAGGCAGCCACTGACCTTGAGTACGGTGCCCAAGCTAGGAGCACCCTCAGAGAGTCTGAGAGATGTGCCCAGGCAGAGCGGGTCTCAGGGACTGCAGGAGCCAGTGGCAGTTGTATGCTCTCAATTAAGAGAAGAGCCAGGGCCAGGAGACCTATCAGAAGCCATTACAGGGGTTACTAAGAGGTTCTGACCCAAGATTCACCAGGGATAGAAGGGAGGCATCTTCCCCAGTGCTTCAGGAGAATTAAATGTGGGGAGCAAAGAAGATGGAGGAGGTAGAGGCAGCGGAGGAGACAAGAAGAGAAACTGGCTCTAGGCACAGAGGGTGAGTTGGTTTGGGACATTACACAAGAGTAAGTGACCCCTGGCTATTTCCAGGCAACTACTTCAGTACTTTTCCACTTGATCATCCTAACCACATTCATCTGCTGCAAGGGAAGTGACAATCATACAGCCAGTCCCCAAGGAACAGCTGTAGGCCAGGCGCAGGAGTAGCCCTGGGCAGTCCAGGGACTCTTAGTGTGGTGGGGAAGGTCAGAATAAGTGCTTTGATGGCCTCAGAGGGCCGTGGGGGCCCTCCATGTGTGCCTGGGGCTGTGAGTACGGTGACACATTGCCTTTCTGTGTGTTCAGACAGGGTTGGAGCCCTCACAGTCAGGGTTTCTGAGGAGGAAGTGGCAGATTAGCCATTCTGCAGAGGCAAAGAATGAGGACGAAAATGCACAGTGTGTCTTTATCGTCTCAGAGTGAAGCCAGTGGAGCAGAAAGGGCCTGAACTCATATAAGTTCCCAGCTCCCCCTAGAGACCCATTTGGACACTCATCTTGGCTTGCTTGCCTTGGTTACCAAGTACCAGCAGACCCAGGGCCCACTGAGAGAGAACCAGACAGAAGAGGGGTTCAAAAACTCTAACTTGAATCAGAATTTCAGCCTGTAGAAGGGAAGACCTTTTCCAGTGCTTCCTTCCCTGGGAGAGCAGAGGGCTCTTGCATAGATAGGGAAGGACTCCATGCTCCCTGCTCCTGATCCAGCAGCCAGTCACAACCTTTGCAGTCACTGGAGGTCACTTGGCCCCGCCATGGACTCCAAGACACCGAGCTGCTCCCCTCACCCAGTCCCCACACTAGCCAGAAGAGGCAGGCAGCACCAGGTCTACGCTGAGGCCACAGGCCCAGAAACAGTCTGCTCTCCTCTCTCTCTCTCTCTCTCTCTCTCTCTCTTTCTCTCTCTCTCTGTCTCTCTCTGCACACCCCATCCAGCCTTGAGCCTTTCTGCAGATGGGCAGGACACCAGGCGGCTGAGAAGCAGAAACCCTTATACCTGGACTGTGGAGGATGTGGTCCGGTTTGTGAAGAACGCTGACCCACAGGCTCTGGGGCCACACGTGGAGCTCTTCAGAAAGCATGTAAGCTTGTGCTGGGCCTGGCTGGGGAGGGGATTGGGGGTTTTTCAGGATCCTCAGTTCCTGGGGGTCTGGACGAAACCCTGGGGCACCCTTGAGAGAGACAGAGATGAGGGACAAATGCAACCACAAGCTTCTCAGAGCAGAACACCCACTTGATTTTGTTTGTAAGGGATATTTGTCCCATCGGTTCTCATTTTGGCCTTCATCAGGATGCCTGTTTTCCTGCCCATCCATCTGTCTGTCTGTGCCTCCATCAGTCATTTATAGCACACCTACAATATGCCAGGCAAACTGGGAGAGTGCCTATCCTCAGCTGCTTTGAGGATTAAATGAGAAAGTGCACATAAAGCATTCCACATGATGCCTAGCTTATACATGGCCTTCAGTTAGCAGGTATTATTATAATTATTTAGATAATTCTGAAATACATTAAAGATGATAAAAAATGAAGGTCAGAATTAATATTTTATTTACCAATTTTACTATATTAGTTTCATGTTGCCACTGTAATAAGTTACCACAAATATAATGGCTTAAAACAGTATTTCTTATCTTACAGTTTGTAGGTCAGGAGCCTGACCAGGGTCTCCCTGGACTATGACCCAGGTGTCGGTCAGCAGGACTGCATTCCTTCCTGGATGTTCTAGGGAGAATCTGTTTGCCTACTTTTCCAAGCTCCAAGCCCACTATCATTCCTTTGTATTCCTCCTGCCTTCAGTTTTAAAGCCAGTAACATCAAGTAGGATCCTTCGTAGGCTGCCCTCTCTGTGGTCCTGTCTTACGACTTCTTCCTCTACTTTTAAGGACCCTTCTGCCCTTCCCCACAGTCCATGATTAATCTCCCTACTTCAAAGTCAGCTGATCAGCAACCTTAATCCCACCTGCAGCCTTATTTTGCCTTTGCCATGTCACTTAACATATTCACAGATTCCAGGGACTAAGAAGTAGATGTCTTGGAGGAAGGGGAAGGAACATTATTCTGCCTGTCACTATAGCTGTCCCCCCTGCCCCCCACCATTTTACTTGGTAATTCTGTCATAGAAATTATACTGTCAGATCCAGGAAGAACCTTCTAATTCAACACTTGCATTTTATTAGGCATGCTTTTAACTTTGCCTGACAATGGGGGCTGTTTAGACAGATTGGCCAGGGTAAGTCTGGCTTTCTTTCCAGGGTGGTAGGAGATGATGGGAGTCTAGGAAGTAGGGTAAAGAAAGAACATCAGGAAATGAGACTCCTAGGAGGGACCCACAGATGAACTCCCCCTGCCCCTGCTATTTTACCAAAGATACAGAGAGTAAGTGATATTGAGTAAGTGCTCTATCAGTATTGGATGGATGGATGGGGAGGATGGGTGGATGGATGGATGGATGGATGGATGGATAGATGGATGGATGGATAAGAGTAGCTGGTGACCCTTGCACAGTGATATGAGTCCCCTGTGTCTCTTCTCCCAACTTGAAAATAGCATATGGTGAGTGAGGAAAGCAGCCTGGCTACCTTCATGAATCCCACATGCATTCTGGAGGGTTACTATTTTTAGAGACAAAGGGAGCAATACCAGGACCTCAAAGCTTGGTTCGTTCCCTGCTAGTTCTTTGTGTTAAACCCTGAGATGAAGCAGGTACGATGTGTATAGTGTCTAGTGTTATTGACAGAGCCAAAGACAGAGCATGGTTTGCAGTTCTGTAATTGGCTGAAGGTAGGTGGGCCTTCAATATAATAAAGAAGAGATTAGGGCCACGGATGGAAGTCAGAGCCTAATGCCAGCCTCTGGAATGAGATGGAAAGGCAAGCTGTAGTTACAGGGTGTAACAGATTTCACTTTTAGTGACAAATATCATACATGAGATATTGGGAACTAAAGTGGGGTTATGTTTGATTTCTTCTATCAGGAATATGAAAGATCCAGTGTATCATATGACTTCAGAGAGATGATGGGAAGAGGAGTACATAGTATTTGTTTGCTTTAATTTTTCATAAAGGAGATCTTGCCCTAACACCAAGAGAATATGCTCTCTAAATGAATCCATTTGTCTTGAACACATATTAACCTTAGCCACATTTTGATTACTCTAATCATTTTCTGGATTTTCTTTTTCTGATCCTGGTCCACCAGGAGATCGATGGTAATGCTCTTTTGTTGCTGAAGAGTGACATGATTATGAAGTACCTGGGCCTGAAGCTGGGACCTGCACTGAAACTCTGCTACCACATTGACAAACTGAAGCAAGCCAAGTTCTGAAATTATGCAAAAGACAGAAGCCAAATCCAAGACAACAGAACTGAAGATTATCCTCTGCCTTACCAACACCCAGCCAACATCATGCAATAGTCTCCTC